TTTGCCCACGGCTGGCCCAGCATCACGTGTCTCACTCGTTCACTGTTGATTTGACATACGAGTAATTTGAGTTATGAGCTCCATCACGGAATGAATTAAACTCGTAGGTCAAGGCCCCACTGTATAAGAATAATTGTGAGGGTTAGAACTTCAACTTTTTTTGGATAATATAGGTTCTAATGGCTGTCTGAGAGGCAGTAAACTTTTGTGCACAAAAGATTGTAGAGGTTGCTTAATAAGAATTATAATAATATGCCTGATGAATATATTGCAAGGAGGTACTAACAATATAATTAACAATCATATTATGATAATAATATATGATCTCACAGGAAGTGTTAAAGAATCGTTAAATAATTCTGCTCATATTTTTGAGGGATCAAGATAAAACTATCCTAGATGCATGTAAGATAGAGGACTGGCTTTAAAAAATGCCATTTATAGATTTGTGCTTATTTAAAAACTGGCAGGAATTCTTGCTATAATTTCAGGCAATGTCACAGGAAATTGTATGGCTTGAGTATTGTTCAGAATAGTTTCAATCACTTGATACATATTTATTAAATGTCTTCTCATGACAACCACTGTGAGTCATTCTGCTGCTATAGAGAAGTAATTGAAATTATTTATATTCTCTGTGTCCTCCCTTATATGTATATGAGCCTATAAATAATTTTCCCTGAAGAAATTTTGCATACCAACTCTCTGATTTTTTGTTCCACCTAGCAAAAATATTAAGCATCTTAATCTAGCTTAACTTGTACACAGAATGAACATCATGGGTGCTTTCCTACCATGACTTCCCCATTCTTGATATAAAAGTAAAAATGACAAAGGGCAAATGTTAAAAAGTAAGTCCAAAAGCACATGAAATGAGGTATGCCTTTATATGCTTGGGTTTACTTCTGGGCTCTCTATTCTGTTATTGATCTCTATATCTGTCAATACCATACCGTCTTGATTACTATAGTTTTGTGATATAGTTTGAAACAGGAAGTGTGATGCCTCCAAGTTTTGTTCTTATTTTTATGATTGCTTTGGCTATTTTGGGTCTTTTGTGATTCCATAAATTTTTTTTCTTAACTTCATTTATTAGTTTTATTTCTTCATGTTGAAAATGTCGCTTGTATGATTTTAAACAGTGGATCTTGGTTAATAAAGCTTTCTTCTAAGGAATACTGATAATATTTAAAATTTTGTTTCTTTTCATAAGGGACAATTTTGATTGAGAGGTAGCTAAAAAATACTGGGACTTCAGTGGAAATAATGGAGTGACACATTAAGTGGAAAAAATATAACTGGTGCCTGGACCTTTGGAAGATGCTGAACCTAACATAATTATTTTGATAAATGGCATCAACAATGTTTTAAATTCCATCAACAATGATTTAAAGATGACAAGTTTTAGATAACTTTTAAAAAATATATTTTTATTGATTTCAGAGAGGAAGGGAAAGGGAGCGGGAAAGAGAGAGAAACATCAACGATGAGAGACAATCATTGACCGGCCGCCTCCTGCACATCCCACATTGGGCATCGAGCCCACAACCCAGGCATGTGCCCTGCCTGGGAATCTAACTGTGACCTCCTTATTCATAGGTCGACACTCAACCATTGAGTTATGCTGGCCAGACAAGTTTTAGATAACTTTTAAGTCATATTTTAAAAGATGTGCTTATTCCATATAGGAGCTTCAATATTAGCCAAAATTATATTTTAAAATAAAATTATAAGTTTTAATGTTTTACACTATAGTAGCTGAGAAGTTTTCTACTTACATGGTAAAAATTATTTCTCCAAGTGCTCAGACACCAAGAAATGGCCTCTTTCTCTATCTGGACTGACAATTTTGCTGATACTACAAAGTACTTTGAGCTCGGTCACGTATACTTAAAATATATAAAGTCTCTATTCCAGGTGTCGAACATATCTTTTTTAAATGTCTTTATTGATTTTATTATTATTTTGTTTTTAATCCTCAACCGAGGATATTTTTCCACTGATTTTTAGAGAGTGGAAGGGAGAGAAATACTGATATGAGAAAAGCACATCGATTGGTTGCCTCCTGCACGAGCCCTGACCAGAGCCTGAGCCCGGTAGGAGCCTGCAACTGAGCCCTTGACTGGAATCGAACCCGGAAACCTTTGATCCGCAGGTCGACGCTCTATCCACTGAGCCAAACCGGCTAGTGCTAACATTGTATTGTGTAAGAATAATCTGTTGGAGAGAAATTTACCTTGCTTATCTACCAGTTTACATTGAATATTGGAAAAATGATCAAAACCTGCCATCAACATAGATGTTTGTATATTCATATGTAACTCAGGCATTCCATAAGATGAATTTGGCTTCCACCAGATATGTACTGAACTTCTGAGAGTGGCATGGGGAGACCATTGATTATTAACTTCAAAAATACAAAGGTGCAACAGAGATAGTAGGAACCAGAGAAATTTTCATAAAATCTAAATTCTAACATTTAATTGCTTTTTAGATGTAACTAAATTGGTCAACATAATAGCATAAATTTAGGCTATTAAGAAATTGGTATTAAGAGTAGCCGCCTAACGAGGAATCGTGCCACGGACCGTGCAGGTTTTAAATTCATAACCTTTTTCCAGATTGTAAAAAATGCACCTCCTGTGAAAATAGAAAAAAAAAAGTATATTTTCAGTCAATAAGAGTATGAATACAATTTAGAAATTTAAAAACAAAATAAATTAAATTAAAATTCCTAATTATAGGATTTGGAATATATTAGTAGCTCTGCCTGACAATTACAGTTGTCAAAGAATATAAGAAAATGCATTGTGTTGATAGTTTAATAGCACAAATGAAGAGCTATTTATCTTATTTAAGATGAGATCTACACAAGAATTCTCAAACAATGCAATAGACACAATATTTTATGGAATAAATCAAGGATAACTACTAAGTTTCTTTTACTTCAACTAAAAATTTTAAGACCCATAGTAACACCCTTCCCATCCCTGCTTATAATGTTTGTTTATTGGAATGGATGTTTTCCTGGGAGGAGAGACCTAATTGTTGTTCAAATGACAGAAAAGCTGAGTGATATTTGGCAACTCAAACTTCCTGGACCTTGAAGTTTGTTTATGAACAGATGAAGTAGAACTACTGAATCTACACTAATTCTAAAATGTTGAGATTGAAATGTATTATATTCATTGATATTTTCCTATTTCCAAGAAAGGGAATATTGAGTGGTAAAGAAAAACAAAACCCACAAAGACAGCTCTAAGGTTACATCTGCTTATATGACTTTGATTCATTAATTTTTTTCATGCATATTATAGCTCAAAATCATACCTGTGAGTTTATTTATTTCCGAAGTGAGTTTTACTAACGTCAAAAGGGCTTTTTCCCGTATGTTGAAGTTTCTTGTGAGAACTATACGATCTTGATCTGTGAGTAGCCTATGTGGGAAACCCACTAATATTTTTGCTGAACTTTCAAAGTACGGGCGATATAATGCTGCCTCCAAAAATTCTATGGTAACTAGAAAGTCCATGCTGAAGTCTCTTTCAGTTTCAGAAGCATAGAATGACCTGAAAGAGGGAGATATTATTAGCAACATGAGTTTTAGAATATTTTATTTTTAAATGCAAATTAAAGTTCAAATGTGTGTTTTCTCTCATATTCCTGAGATTATATAATTTATCGAATAGCTCACTTACCAATTTGTACAATTTCAATATAATATAGTTAATCCCCATAGTATCTTCTACATTGTGCCTGGCTGGAGAATCTCATCAACAGCCACAGAAATTTTAAATTATAATTAAAAAAATTTAATGCACTAACCAATACTTCTCTTACTTTCATTCAATTTATTCTTCATGATTTCCCATTGTATTTCTTCACTATCTAATTCCTATGCTACTCACTTTTCTTAACATCAGTTGTTTTCCATAAAGGAAGCTCAGGGACTGAGTAAAATGAGCCAATCTAATCAGTAGGCTATTACCTAATAGCAGCTTCTGAGAATTGTGGAAGAAAATACATGGTTGATTCTGAAATGTTGAGAAGTTGTGAGATTAAAAACAAAGTAAAAAGATATGGATTGAAAAATCATATGTTGAAATTCATATTAAAAATGAGTAATAGAGACCAGAGCAATCTCTCTCTCTAATATTCAGGGAATTTTCTAAAAGGGATAATTTATACAAAAAGATAGAATCAATATTTAAAAAAATAAATTGGGTCAAAAGCAAGTTTCAACAAATTCCAATAGATTGAAATAAAATTGAAAACAAATTCATAACAAAAAGTAATTAGAAAGTTTTATATATTTGGAAATTAACACATTAAAAGTTAGTCATAGAAAAAAGTCATAATAAAAATTATAAGACAATATTTATTAGATGTAATGAGAACATGATATATTAAATCTTGTGAAATATAGATAAAACTACACTGAGAAATAAATCTATAGTCCTTAGTAGATATAAGTTATCTTCATTTTCATCTTGATGTAAATAAAAGTAAGAATAAATAAAAATAAGTTAGCAAAAAGAAAAAATAAATATAGAAGCTAAAATAGTGATGTGGAAATTAACCTAAAATAAAAATTTTGAAAGTCAAAAATTTGTTCTTGCAAAAAATGTGGCTTAATTAGTAAAATCTAACAAACAGATAAGAAAGAAATCACACCAATTTTACACTAAATCTTCCAGAAAGGCACTTTTTAACTCACCCTCCATCCCACTGTATACTTGATAGCCAAAACTAGAAAGAAATAATAAGAATGGAAAATTGCAGGTCAATCTTGCTTGAGATTAAAAAATTGAATATTATGTTAGTTTATCAAATGTAGTAATGCCTATTAAAAATGGTGGCCAATTTTGTCTGTTTCAGAGATTGAAGGTTAATATGCCATGTGAAAATCAAGCAATGTATTTTTTTTACATTAACACAAAAATAGAGAAAATTATTTTCCTAAATTAATGCAAGAATTGGCTGATCTTTAATATTCATTCATTAAGAAAATGAAAGTTAAGAATAGAAGGGCAAATCCTATCAACAAAGGTTATCTATGAAAATCCTACACCTGATTTCACCACTCTTATCCAACATTATACAGCAATGAAATAAGACAAGAAAATTTCAACTCTAAGCAGTGAATCACTCGGCTTGCTCATCAAATAAATAAATAAATAAATAAATAGGAAATTAATAAATTACATGATTTGGAAGACATAAACACAACTCTCAGTATTTATACAGTAAACTATTTATACAAATAATATGAAGGAAAACCATCCTATTACCTATGAGAATTAATAAGTGAATAGAGCAAAATATCTAGATACAAAGTTGTACCAAAAACCCTTGTGCTTATATACCAACAAAAATATATTAAAAATTAAGTTGAAAAATCAATAGCATTAACGATAATATAAAAACATCAAATATCAAACATGAAGTTTTCAATGAAAGATGTTAAAGAAGTTGACACAGGAAACCATAAATCACCATTGAAAAATACTGAAGAAAGCTCTAAATATTAATTTTAATCACGTGAAACAGCTGTTTCTGTACATCTTTGAATATTAACTACCTTGTACAGTTCAACCTAATAAATGGGGTAAAACTCAGTATTGCAAAGGTATAAATTTCTGTCCCAAATTCAATGAATTAATGCAATCCCAATCTATTTTTCAACATTTTTTTCCTGCTGGTGAAATTAACATTTAATATTCTAGGATTTTAAAATTATTTCCACATTTAGCTACTGCTACTTGAAGGAGTGAAATGTGACTATATCGAGTATTAGAAAGGAATGAGCCTGGCCAACATGGTTCAGTGGTTAAGCATCGATCTATGGACCAGGAGGTCAGGGTTTGATTCCTCGTTAGGGCACATGCCCGGGTTGCAGGCTAGATTCCCAGTGTGGGGCTTGCAGGAGGCAGCCAATCAATGATTCTCTCATCATTGACATTTCTATCCCTCTCTCCCTCATCCTTCCTCTCTGAAATCAATAAAAATATATTAAGAAAATAAAAAGGGAATTAGGTCACAACTAGTGAATTGCAAAGCCAGCAAAGAAGCACCAAAGCTTTTTTTTAAAAAAATAAAATGTTGAAGTAATGAACATAACACCATTAGCATTAAAAATGCATGGTGTCAACCTTTATTACAACTGGACAGTTTTTAATACTAAAAGAATGGAATAGTCATAGAGTGATGAGGAATAGAAAAAGAGTCTGCGGTGGCAAAGAAAATAGAAAAACAGTATTTTGTGAATAGGTGAAGAGATTTTGCCAAGATCATTATCTAAATCAAAATACATCCCATTCACAAAATCAATATTTTCAATTAAAAAGAATAATCTCTCCAAGGTTTTCTGAAGTTCCCATATCAATGTATTGTTATGGGAATAAACATCAAAAAGTTTGTTGAAGGCAATTTTGAGACAAAAATCTCATGTTTAATTACTGAACTTAGATAATTTAAATCTCTGCAACTGGCATTTATAAGATGACCAGAGGCCTTGGACAGGATCAGGCAGCCATGAACAGTGCTATAGGCAGGAGCACAGAAGCTGACAGTCAAGGAAGACCACGGAGACAAAAGGCCTAGAAGAAAAACAGCACCAGGCCCAGGATCCTGGACTTCTCGTAAAAGCTCTTATTTAAGTAATACCTAGATAAGGCTGACTGATAATTAGCAGCAGACCCCATTGTAGTCATTGTCAACTATTAAATGACATTTCCTATATTTGCTGGGATTTATGTTAAGCAGGTAAATTTCACATAGTTTACTCCAATACATTTTTATTTGTAAGAAAAGGAAAAATAAAAGATCATCCCTTTAAGAAATCACTTAAAAAGTATTATATGTATCAGGTGATTGGATGAACTGCATAGACTGCCAGGCAATGAACAGATACTACTTACTTCAAACGATTTTTGTTTTTTGGTAGTGAGGTGTGGTGCTGCAAGTTGAAACCTGACTCAGAATCCCTTACCGTTGTATTTGCATAGCTACCTTATATAAACATATAGAATCCAAGAAAAGAAATGAATTGCATTTTGCATCCATTAAAAAACTTGATTAGATAAAAATAATTATTTTACTATAAACTGAATTGTCAAAAAATATATGACACTTCCTCCTGGTAGAAGTGTAAACAACCAGCCATCTTTATTTCAATATCTTCACCGATTGACTATATGATTCTTCCATGAACTGCAAATAAAACTAGAAAAACGATTTCCTGAGACATTTGGAAAAGATGAGAAATGAATATTTGAGACAAAGAAATTTATACATTATGTTACACAATGCCAGAAAGAAAGGGAAACTTTAGTTGTATCACCTAGAGCAAATAACTTACACGTCAGAGAACTTCGATGTTCCAATATCAATGCCTGCTTGATGGGCCTCCCACATGTAAAGGACCACTGTGTCCTCATCTATGTTGTAATGAGGAACATCTTTGATAATGGAAGTGATCTCTCTGGACAGCAAATACTAGAGAATAAATAATATGATCTATGTAAATAGATTATCTCAAAATAAAATTAAAATAAATTGAATCACCAAGATCATGATTTCCTAAAATAAAATACTGTGAAATATTCATCTAGCTGGTTGTCTAGAAATAGGTTTATTTTCAAAATAAATTTTAACACTTGAAAATATTAAACTTTTCTATGAACAGGTGTATGCTAATCTATTTGCACAGACAAACATAATTTGGTAATTATCAATTTTACTGAAATAAATTTTTGTAAATGACATTATACTAATTTAATCATTAACTTAGCATATGTCAGCACACTAATAGGAAAAATTCCAGAGGAGAAAGGACAGAACTATACTTACAGTTTTATCTGCTTGTAAATGTAAAGTTTAATCTATTTTTAAACCACAAATCTCATAGAACACCTCAGTGTCTTCATTTGTCCTACTCATACAAATACAGTCACATTCTTTTACCTGATAAAACCTGTTGGCTAGATCCATAGTTTGTGGGTAGGATGCACGGCATTCTGCAATCGAATAACAGAAGTCAGACCTGTATTCTTCTCGAGATACTAACTCCACCTGGTATGGTAAATCCTTCAGAAACTCAGACTCAATTGCAGCAAGAAAATACGGAATAATCACATAGAAGTTAATGTCTGTAATGAAGCAGAAGAAAAGTGTCTGGAATCATCAACTGTTTATTCAAAACAGGAGTTAGCCAAATCACTACGGCTTAGTCTACATAATTTAGCTCGTTTATCCCCCAAACCATGATGTTAAACTTGTTGAATCTAGGAAATGCACAGCTCTAGGAGAGCTTAGGGTTAATCACAGTCATAAAGTTTCACATACCAGGGGAACACTCCAGGTACAGGTACTTGTGCATGATCTAATTGAGTCAACATTGTTTCAAATTATTTATGTTCTATATTTATTTGCTCCTCAAACAGAAAATACATAATAAGGTTTGGATGAAGAAAACATTTATCTCAGATTGGGTATGTATGTAGATGATGCTCAAATATATTCCTTGTGGAGACTCTTTGTATAAAATGAAGAAGAGGTTTTGAATGAACTATCTTATTTATCCTCTCAATTTAGGGATTCATGTTTCTGACTCTCTCTCCAATCAATATCCAATACATTTCCTTAATTTTCAATTTGTTATCTTTCTTCTGGTTCTTGATGCCAACTCATTTTTACCAAGCACTCACTATAGTACTTGTGCAGATTCTGTTTTGGACTATTTATCAAATTCTCAATTCCTGTATTCATCTTGTCTACCAGGATTCTGGCAACTTCCAGTCCTAGATTATTCCTAGGCCTACTCCTCAGCCTGGCTTCGGTACTCACAGGCATGGATCCATGCTTTCTGTTCATGAAATGCATTTTCTGTGTTTCTTCTTGGCAACCAGAGAAAGAACCATCAATATTTTGATTGTTCATCTAGCTGTCAAGGAGCAGCCAAAGTAACTAAGAACACACGGGAGGAGATATGCATCATAGGAATTTTAAGAAATGTTCTTCAGTCCTATCGTTTTGTCATTATTTGAAACTTGGTAACTAGGTGACCTCTTTCCACAAAGGATTTTGTTCATTACCAAGTATGACCCTTATTGCTTTAATTGTAATTTTAAAATATTTAGAATTTTCAATTACATTTGACATTCAATATTATATTATTTTCAGGTGTACAGAATAGTGGTTAGACTTTTAACGTACAAAGTGATCCCCTGATAGGGTTTACACCCACCTCATATTATATGTAGTTATTACAATATTATTGACTGTATTTCCTATGATGTACTTTACGATCGCATGATAATTTTGTAACTACCAATGTGTACCTTTTAATCCCTTTACCTTTTTCTCTCAGCCCCCCAACCCTCCTCCCATGTGGCAATCGTCAGTTTGTTCTCTGTATCTATGAGTTTCTTTTGTTTTGTTTATTTTGTGTTTTTTTTAAGATTTCACATATAATTGAAATCATATGCTATTTGTATTTCACTGTCTGAGATATTTCCCTTAGCATAATACCCACTAGGACCATCCATGTTGTCACAAATGGTAAGCTTTTATTCTTTTTTATGGCTGAGTAATATTCCATTGTATACTAGTATATGTACCACTTCTTTTTTTAAAAATATATTTTTATTGATTTTGTACAGAGAGGAAGGGAGAGGGATAGAGAGTTAGAAACATCAATGAGAGAGAAACATCGGTCAGCTGCCTCTTGCACACCCCCTACTGGGGATGTGCCCACAACCAAGGTACATGCCCTTGACTGGAATCGAACCTGGGACCTTTGAGTTCGCAGGCTGACGCTCTATCCACTGAGCCAAACCGGTTAGGGCTGTACCACTTCTTTATCCATTCATATTTTGATTGGAACATTTAATCCATTTACATTTAAAATAATTATTGCTAGGTATGTAGGTATTGCCATTTTATTCATTGTTTTCTGATCATTTTTGTAGTTCTCTGTTTCTTTCTTATTCTCTTGCTTTCTTCTCTTGTATGTTGGTGACTTTCTATAATGTTGTGTTTGGATTCCTTTCTCTTTATTTCTTGTGTATCAATTGTAGATTTTTAGGTTTAGGCTACCATGTGCTTCATATATGCCAAGTTATGCTTATAACAGTCTACTTTACATTGATGGTTCTTTAAGTTCAAACACATTCTAAAATCACTAGGATCACTCCCCTTCTCCACGTTTATGTTTTTGTTATTATTTTTTATTTATTTTTGTGTGTTTCCATGTACCCCTTAATTTATTGTTGCAATTGCACATGATCTTTCCACTTTTGTCTTTTAACCTTAGTTCTAGCTTTAGTGTTGGCTGATTCACTGCTTTTATTCTGTGCTTGCCTTTGTCAGTGTGGATTTTTTTTTCTTGTGATATTTTCTTATTCATAACTTTGATTTTTTTCTCTACTTCTTGAAGAAGTTAGTTTCTTTAGCATTTCTTGTAATACTGGTTTGATGGTAATGAATTCCTTCAGCTTTCTCTGGTCTGGGATCACCTTTATTTTTGAAATGTGCATTTATAAGATTCATTTTTTTCAAACTTTGGTGACAACTCAATTTATATTTTTGAATAAACCATTGAAAAGCAGCAGATATATTAAATGTAGTCTATAGTGAAATTGATCTTTAAGACTTAAAATAAGCCATTCAACTGGAAATAAAAAATTATCAAATTTTTTTGCAGATTGGGCTTTAGGAAAACAAACTGGTACAGATATAAAGAAAATTTATTTTCAAGATACAAGGGTGAGTGTTAAGAATCTATTACTAGCCCTGGCTGATATGGCTCAGTTGATTGAGTGTAGTCTCATACACGGAAAGGTTACTGGTTTGATTCCTGGTCAGGGAACATGCCCAGGTTGCATTTCAATCCCCAGTAAGGGGCCTGCAGGAGGTGGCCAAATGATGTTTTGCTCCCATATCTATCTTTCTCTCTCTCTCTAAAATACATTTTAAAATATATTTAAGATAAAAAGAATCTATTACTAGCTTTAGAAAAAGCAAATTACTCAACATCTCTCAGCTTCTATTTGATTATTTTTTATGAGGATATTAATATCACGGTAAGGATTGAATTAAACTATATTATCTAAAGTAAGGTGCTTAAGATGCTAGAAAGTAGTGGAATAAATAGTAACTAGTTGGAGAAGGGGCTGGTGGTGTGTGTAATAAACAACAGAATGTCTGAAACACTGAGTACCTTTAAAGATGATCTCCTTTAGTATTTTTCTAAAATTAATAATATTTTATACATAATTTAGAAATTGTATAAGACTTACCTTTTTTATTTGTTTTCTTAATTGATTAGCCCGTAAAATTGCACAGAAAATTGTATATCTTTACAAGAAAAATCAGGATTTACCCCAATTTATCCTACCCCATATAAAAGCAGAGAGAGCAAGGCTTACAGCCACACTCAGTAAAGATGCATGGGGGTGAATATAACACTTACTGCCCCAGCCACTGTTGATAGATAGACAGCCAGGAGCTCCAGCGTCATAAGCACAGACTGAACTGTTGGGAGGTTCTGAAAATCGATCTGCAGAGTAAATGGGATATGTAAATTAAAACAAGTAACTCTAGGAAGAAAGTTTAAACTTTTAATAAAAGTCTTGAGAAAAGGGGAGGGGGGGGAGACATAAATACTCCCCTCCATAAAAATAGAAAGAGCCTTATTCCGCTTTATAATATGGCCCATTCATAGCATTTCACATTTCATTCACTTTGAGAGCTGAAAGCTTCTCAGAGATGTCAGCTTGTAGAGACCACTAGACCAGCAGAGTGTTTTAAGTCTGTTGGTCACTTGTTTTCTCCGAAATACAAGAGCTGCTTGCAATAATTCAGATGCGCAGGAAGGCTTTTTCAATACCAAAGCACCACACTCTAATCCTTGCTTCATTCCATACTTTAGCCTGAGTTTCTTGGAAGTCTAATCACTACCAAAGAAGACCACTTGGAAAAGAATTTCATGGAAATGGGAAACTTGTTCAACTAAGGAACCTTGGGAACAAGGAAATGGATTCTAGGACTAGAAACAGTAAAGCCAAGTAGAGAAACTCACCTACACGAGAGGAAGCAAAGAGAAGAGCTTTCTAGATAGAAACCCAGAGTTCCAAGCTGAAGCATCTCATCTCTACTCCATGTCCCCATCCTATTGTATCGGTACAAGAAGAGAGTAGTCTAGTTACTAGACCAGTTCCTTCCTGTTTTCATTCCTTTCTTCTGCCTGAATTTAACAATGAGTAGAAAGTAGAATGTATGTTGAAAGCCACATATTAGATACTTTTTTCACTAACAACTTATGAGGCAAAGATTAGGCTTTTAAGGAAAAGTACCTTAGTTTGTATGAAACTTCACCCTGGGTTTTATAGTTGAAAGAAGCCTTTGTCATATTTCTGATAATAATCTAACCTCATGAAACAAAGGGGTTTATAGTACCACATTTCTTTGACAAGATTGTCAGGCCTTAAGATGATGATGATATCTCAAAAACTGAAGATTTTGAAACTAGAGGGGAAGATTTCTTCTCTAAGCAGTATTCTTATCTAGTTCTTATAAATTAATTTTAAAAACTGTAATTTTTACCAAAAAAGTCTATAAAATGTGAAGAATAAATATGCCAAATGATTTTACTAATAAAAAATCATTTGCTCAGGTCATAAGAAGGTCTGAATAGAAAAAGTGGTTATATTGACTACTTCAAGAACATTCAAATAATTACATTTAAACATATTAACTATAATGACACTTGCAGTAGTGAAGAAGGAAAAAAGCAACATTTCTTGGAAAGAATTAAAATGTACATACCTGTTTCATATAGCTGTCCATAATATAAGGTGAGTGCCCACAATACATTGTCTGTTTTGTTTTTTCCAAATCCAGCAAAATATCTGTTTGATTTTTCAATAAGGATTTTATACATTTTTAATCGATCAATATATTTCCAGGGATCAATGATTGTTTTGTTATTCTGTACTGGAAATTCTGCTATGTCCCCATTAATCTGGTCCCAAAAAGGGGGGTAGCTGTCATTTTCATCTGTGGCTGACCCTGGATTTGGGGCCAATTCCACAGAAAAAAAACTCAGGAATAGAAAAGTGGGGGTAATCAAAGAAGACCACATCTTCTCACTGGTTGTGTGCTTAAGCCTAAATCTCAGCTTGTAGAGACGAACTATAATTATAGAGCTGAAGAGGATCAGATGATATTTTTCTGCCAATTAGAAAATGGGGAATCTCTGAGTGGATGATACTCTGACCAACCAGCACCTGAATAGCTAATGATATGCGATGATAATAAATGGGCATCTGCCAATGTAGACATGGTAATTAGACTAATTAATGGCACTAGATGTTAAGATATCAACGATGGTCCTTTTTTAATTAATTTTTTTATGATTTTTATTTTTTATTTTATTTTTTTTCCTCTTGAAATACAGAATTTTATTTAGAAACTGCTTAAAGTAAAAAAAAAAAAAAAAAAAAAAAAAACCCTGTAAAAAAAAACCAGGTGGAAAAGTAGAAAAAAAAAAACCCTGTCAAGAAAGACCAGGTGGAAAATGGGTTCCAAATAAAATGGAATTTTAGGGCAACAAAAGTCTAAAGGCCACAAAAGAGAAATAGCACCACTGTTATTTGAACAATGGCTAGTTACTTGCATTTTTGGCATTGTTAATCACTGAATCTGGGTTTCTCTCTGAATTTCACACAGAGCATGCACTACACAACAATTTATTATAAAATACCTGCTTTCTACACACATTTTAGGACAAACTACCACCATCAACAAATCAATACAATTACATCAGGGGCTGAACAAGCTCAGTAGTGGGTGACACACATTTTGCAGAATTCTGCCAAACAAAGGAACTGAATAGGCTGTAGGCAAAGCAAATGAGGGGTGTTAAGGAATGAAATAGTTGAAATATTAATAATTAATTCAGACATGTATTTTCTGCAAAAGAAAATTAACATTTAGTAACATGCTAACGAATTTTATCTCCAAAGAGATAAAATACTGGCAAAGTATTCTGATAACAGTGGAGGGCTGTGGACAGCAGGTACCAAAAAAACCCAGCCTTGCAGATCTCAAGGTAGCGATGGCCTTCACTGATCACTCCCTTTGTCAGAGGCCCAAAAAAAAGAACTTGCATGATCACTTGCCTGCTGAACTTTCACTCTAAGCAGCAAACTCTAAGGAGCCAAACAGGAGTCCCCAGTGGGCAAGGGGGGATGAAAAACATGTTAAATGTAAACTTAAAAGACAGCAAAATGGGACACAAACCCCCATTCAAATCCCAGAGATGTGGGCAAGTCCCCAAAAGTAGTTGTTAGATTTTAAAACTGAACACACCTCATTTCCCAAAGACACAATACACAGAAATTTCAGGGGTAACTGGAAAAATCATCAGAGAAATGCTCAATGAATATCAAGCTATTCAACTCAAATATCTCAGGGTTGAAACATACCCTCTATTCATTCAGCCAACAATGCCTCTTGCAGAGATGCAATTGGTCAAGGACACCAAATGGCTTTAGAGAGCAACTTTTTAAATGTTCCTTCTGGGCCAAGGTTAGGCCTATGAAGATTCAAACAGCTCTGCAAGGCCTGTGAACAGCAAGTTCTGAAGGTTCCAAGTTCTGGCCCTTCCTTCCCAGACACAAGGGCAACACACAAACTCTCCTATCAGGTTACATTTTATATTTTGAAATATGCAAACGTAATTCAAATACTCTTAAGGCATTCATTTATTAAAACGTTCTCTGCCAAGATTTCACATTAGCTTAAAATTAAATTCAGACTTTACATTTCACTACTGAGGTATCCACCTCAGCGTATCACATAAAAACACCTTCTCCAGCAATCAGTGTTACCAGCATCCATATGGTGAGCCCATGGTCAGCCTCTTTGTTCCCTAAGTGAACCAACTAGATGTTAATACTGCTCTGCTACAAGGTAAAAGCTCCTAACTCAAACTTATTGAAAAAAGAGTGAAACTTCTGCAAAGTGCACTTTAAGAAGAGGTACTTTTTGCTTATGGAAAGAAACCGGTGAGTCCTCTAAAAGTAATAAAAGGGAGTATTTTACAGTCAAGCACATGATTTGGAGTGAAGAATTTGGATGTTGCTCTGCTGGTCCAAGCTGTTAATACTCTTCTTGTTCCTCCTGTGGGCCTCCTTCATCAGGTATCACAAAGCCTTCATCTGTGGCATAGAGAATGTCCACAGTCCTCTGCAATACAGGGTTGTTTTCCCCCTCGTTCTCCTGGCAAATCAATTCAATGTTCCTTAGCTTTCCAAAGTAGAAATCTCTTTCTTTCTCCAAGTCTTCGACAGTAAGTTTCAATACGTTGACCTGCTGCGTCAGTTCAGCTGCTTCGTGGTCCCCATTGCCCACACCAGGATTCTTTCGCACCACACCGGGGCCAGCCTGAGGGGTTGCAGTAGTTCTGTGTGTCGCCATGGGCCTCTGGAGCTGCACTGCTAGAGCTGAGAGGTTTCTTCGGTTTGTTCATGGCCGGAGCAGCAAGGGAGGGAGCCACTGCAGTTTCTTGACCTTGTCTGGCAGCTACAGGGTCATAGTCTTTTCCATCATAGTTTGCATCAAAAAACTTCTTGAACCACTGAACGAATTCAAAATTGTCCTGAAACTTTCCTTTTACTAATCTGTCCACAGGAATTATTTTGTCAACACCCATCCTCTTAAAACCTGCTTGTCGTATTTTGAAGTTCTGGATGTATTCATGTTCTAGCTTAGCTTGAAATTTCACTTTCTTCAAGGCAATGGAGCCAGGGAACAGCATGTCCATAAACTGACAATAGGCAGCCCCTGAATGAACAAGAGAAGAATAAAATATGCAATAGGTCATTAAATGTTATTATTAAAGAAGCAGGGGGAAATTTTACCCCAAAGCCACTTAACCCAGGTACAATTTTAAAAGTTGTAAAGTGGACCTACAACACCCAAAAGCTTCAATACCACTTGACTTCGAAGTCATTTTTAAAATCTATAACAACAATGTGGTTTTTGCCTGATGGGTTCTTCAACACACTTGGAGGAACCACGTCCACTGCCGTGCCCGGCTTCGGTTCCGTCCTAATTTTTTTATGATTTTTAAATTGATTTTTAGATAGAGAGGAAGGGAGAGAAACATTGATCACCTGACTCCTGCATGCCTCGTACTGGGGTCAAGCCTGAAACCCAGGCATGTGCCCTTACACCAACAACTTTTGGTGCATGGGATGACACAACCAACTGAGCCACACCGACCAGGCATGACAGTCCTTTTCAAGAGGAAGGAAGGTTCAGTAGATCTATCTAGTGTTGAGAATCTGAAATAGTGGGGAAAGCTTTAGTGTAGATTATCTAAAAGTCAATCAACTTCAATAAACTTTTTCGTTAGATATCTTAGGAGACTGAATCAGTGGGCACTATCTACTTCCTATGTACTTTTAAGTGTCACTGGAAAGAAATTTTCCTTTAGTTCATCTTCAGTATAGCTCTCCATATACACTAGTAAGCAACTACTTCCCATCTCTTATCTACCCTTGGCCATCAGAGTCACCCTCCTTTCTTTTCTGAATGCATTATAGCAATGTATTTATAGCACTTCACAGTTTACAATGTGTAGGGAGTGCCTGGGAAGGCACATGAGCTGATTGTTGGTTGAGTCCAGTGGCATCGGCAGAGCCACATCCTGGAAACATATCTTGCCAGAGGCAAGTATGTTCTCAACCTGACCTTTAGCTCAGGCACCAGGGGGTGGGTCTCATTATCTGATTTTAGCAATTATCCAGGCTCAGCCAGGAGTGACAATCACAAAGAAGCCACAAGAATGAAGAATTGCAGCTTGATCTTTAACCATGATTTCACATAATTTCCTTTGTCTTAAACTCTAGTAAAACTTCCTGGTATCACACTGTATATAATAAACGCACTGCACTAGCTCTGGGTCACTGTCTCTCCATCTGAGGGGAGCGTCCCACCTGGTCCCAACTTTACTTAAAGTCTTTGTGTCTGTCTCTTTTTTTCCTTTTCTCAATCCCCAGCTGCCCCTACTCAGGACTCATCTGCTCTCTAGCCATGCTGGTTGCGGCTCGAGAGAGGAAACATAAATATGTACTGTCATTTACATACTAAATATTAATTGTGTACCAACTAATAAACACTTTGGTATTTATCAGAGTATTAAGTAAATAATTGTCCACAGTGCCTTAAAATTTAGAGATTCTTGCAAATAAATTAATAAAATACAATGTTTTACATGCTAATAAAGATATATACAAAGGTTAAGAATTCTGGTTCAGGAGCAGGGGAAGGTGAAATAGGAAAATTAATTCAAACTGGATGTTTTATCTGAAATCAAAAAGTTAACTAAGAATAGAAAATGCAAACAAGTAGCATAAAACTTAGAGAGATGAAATACTATGTGCAAAGATATTAAGATAAACATATGAGAAAAAGAATGTTCTGAAAATGAGGGCCTATGTGTAAAATCATCAGAAATTAGGTTGCTAACTTAGGACATGACCAGGCCGCAAAAGTTAATTCATGTTAATTTTAATAATGAAGTAACCTTTAGTGACTTTAATCTTGTGAGATTCATTGTCTTCTGTTTTTATTTTAGAAAAATTAATCATATACCTTTATTTCTAACTGAATTAAATCTAAATACATATTTTCTGCTAACATTTTCTTTTATTTATATAATGAACTAGAGGCCTGGTGCACAAAAATTTGTGCATTCGGAAGGGGGGGGGTCCCTCAGCCTGGCCTGTACACTCTCGCAGTCTGGGACCCTTTGGGGGATGACCACCTGCTGGCTTTGGCTTGCTCCCTGGGGGATTGGGCCTAAGCTGGCAGTCAGACATCCCTCTGGCAGCCCGGCAGCCCTCGGGGGATGTCTACTTGCCAGCAGGGAGCAGACCTAAACTGCAGTCAGACATTTTTAGCGCTGCTGAGGAGGCAGGAGAGGCTCCCACCACCACCGCTGTACTGGCAGCCATCAGCCTGGCTTGTGGCTGAGCAGAGCTCCCCCTGTGGGAGCGCACTGACCACCAGGGGTCAGCTCCTGCATTGAGCGTCTACCCCCTAGTGGTCAGTGTGTGTCATAGTGACCAGTCATTCCCAGTTGTT